AAACCAACAAAATGATCTTCCAACATTTCCATTATTTCTTCTGACTCAGAGTAATATGACACCCCAATCCACCATGGAATTCCAATTTCATTTGCAAGTATCGCAGTAGATATAGTTGTCATCGAGTTCCAAATGTTTGCCTTTGCATGTAAAGCAAATAGACATTGGTTGATCATATATGATCGTAGGCCAAGCTCGTGCAGCCGATACGGATCATTCATACACCATTTGCCAGATGGATTTTTTTCAAAGGAAGGAAGAAAGAAACTAAAAGTGGTTTCCTCGCCAAAGAACTCTAGTTCAAATCTATTAAGTAAAACTTATGGACCAAAAGCTTTTCAAGTCAATCTTTTGTTTGTAAGAATAATTACAATTAATCCAGCTATATTTTTTTGTATTTATTGGCCAATTGTTCCACCTACAATATACTGTTTGAAATCAATTTTTCGTTTGTAAGAATAATTACAATTAATCCAGCTGTATTTTTGTATTTATTGGCCAATTTTTTCACCTACATTATACTGTTTGAATTCAAATTTTTTTTTTTTTACCATTGAAGGCTTTCATATTTCAATGGAAATAGTGTAAAACCAACAACAAACTACAATTCTTAACAGTTCTATATATCAGCTAGTAATTAACAGTTGATTTGATTGCGTCCAATATCTGCATCAAAAGTGAAGCAAATGATATATATATGGTTTAGAGTTTTCGAGTCGGAAAAAAGATAAGAGAAAGGAGGATTTTGCCTTATTCTTGGTAGGCATGTAGAATGGCTCAAACACTAGTGGTAATGGAGTGTCTAGACCACAAACTCTACTCACTGGAGCTTCTAACTGCAAACAAGAGGGAATGGAGTGTCTAAACCACAAACTCTACTCACTGGAGCTTCTAACTGCAAACAAAACAACAATTAAAACATAAAATTAAGGGTAATCTTGTCGATTAATTAAGCCTTCTTTTTCTTTTACCTTCAAGAAACAACGTTCGAGGATTGTTGCAGAGATCTCTGCTCTAAAACCTCCTGTTACAGGAGCTTCATGGCTTATCTACAACCCACAAGCAAAAGCATAAGACAGAACAACAAAACAAAACTCGACACTGTCTCAATCAAGTTTTAAAAACTTACAAGAAGCCTTCCCGTCTTTTGAACTGAGTCCTCGATAGTTTCTTTGTCCCAAGGAAGTCGAGTCTTGAGATCTATCAGTTCACATGATGTTCCTTCCTGTATAAACTCAATACCCGCATTAAGTTACTAACTCCGAATCAATCATCATCGAGTAGAAACATAAAGTTTTAGTTTAAACTTTTTCTGCATCTAGACAAGCTTGTTCCATGATCGTTAGCTGAGTTCCCCATCCGCCTAGCGTTAGGTCACTGCCTTCTTATCACCTGAACACATCTCCTAGATGTGAGATCGTTATCTCCTAAAGAGACGGTGAAAAATGAACCTAGTATACCTCAGCTTCTGATAAAGGTATCGTGTAGGAAGATACAACAATAATAGTAATATGCAAGTCTCCGAACTTTCTTTTTTGTTCTTCCAAGTATTTGTGTTTCATGTTATGTTGTTTCAATGAGCAATACCCAAATCATTCAAGAGGAACTTATTTCACTGCTAACTACATGTAATAAGATTTCAAATCTCTGTTCTTTAATAAACTCCTTTAATCCCATTGGCAGCTTTAGTTTCTCAAATGTTGATCTAAAAAATGGTAAAAATGTTGCTTAGACGCCAAACACATAAAGTTGTTTAGGTCCATATATTGATTATAGATGAGATTGAAGGCTTCATATATATGGGCTGTTCGTTTGTATAGTTGGATAAAG